TTCTTTGTTTATGTATCCCCTTACTTTCTGCAATGCCCCTGCAGCGGTGACTCCGGTGAGGCGCCACAAATTCACATTTCCATCGGGCCCTGTGCAGAAAGGGACTCTCTCTCTCTCTCTCTCTCTCTCTCTCTCTCTCTCTCTCTCTCTCTCTCTCTCTCTCTCTCTCTCTCTCTCTTCTCTTTTTCTCCCTCTCCTTTCCTCTCTCTCCCCCTGTTTTTTTTTTTTTTTTTTTTTTTTTTTTTTTTTTTTTTTTTTGGGTCGGAGAGGACAAGGCATTGAAGGTAGAAGGGGAATGCTGAGGTTTTCCGGCTCCATCTGCTATAGCGCATTCTGCCATCCGCCGGATTGTGTCCTCGGCAAGAGTAATTAGATTCTGAAGCCTTGCATGGTTGCACCGGATGGTGGTTTGAGCTTAAATTTCAATTAGACCAGAAGATTTTTCTGTTACCATTTTGTGAAATCTGTTTTGCTCTTTTTTCTGATTTTGCATTTTTTTTGTTTTGCCAGCTCAAGGTGCAGAGCCAGGGGTCCCATCTTACCTCGGCGAGGCAGGTGCCGGAGATCGGTGGTTCCTACTGGCCATGGAGATTTTGCCACCAACAGTGTCACTCTATGATACCGCATTTATACTGGCCTCACTGGCTACGGCACTGCATGATGGCTTCATAGCCGCAATGTATGGCAAATACAGTTTCCTGTTTTGGAAAGCCCAAACAGCGATAAGGTGAGTCGTCACCATCTATTCTACTGTCATCTACCACCTCAACTTGTTCGGAAAATTTCAGATACTCCCCAGTGTCCACACTGCAACCAAAGCCAGAGGAGTTTTAACTTAAAGAACGCAGGACCCTCAGGAGCAGCAAATTTGGACGAGTTTTCGGCCAAGAAACTCAGTGCAATTTTGTTCAAAAAAATAAAAAATGTCCGTTTTGACGAAATGGCAGTTTGTATGGTGTACTGGTGCTTTAAGCCTTTAAGGCTCTCTTGCCTTCAATGGGTCCTCTATTGCATAATACCTGGCTTTCTGAAAACAAGGTCTTAATTTGTTGTTCTGCAAAATAAGGGTGCTCATCTCAGAGTCATCTGCAAATCAAATTTATCACATCGCGTTTTTCATTGCTTAAGCAATTTTTAGAAGATATTGGAAATTTCTATTATAATATTTTACCTCATCCTGTCATTTTGCATTCAGTTTGTTCTAAAGGTCAATTCTATCATTTTTGGAATTAAAAAAAAAAAAAAATAGAATCATCCTTAATAAGATAAAAAAATTGAGTCACAGAAAGAGGTTATTTGAACTTATTTCAATTTTCTACTACTGTTTGAAAATTTTAAAATTTGTTCTTTCAGGTCATTAATTTAATCCAAAGACTGTGACAGGCACAATCAAATATTCCCCTAATATGAAGTTCATCCGAAAACTTGAAGGTCTTAAATTCTCTTGATTTAATAATAATTTGAGCCTGCCCTCTTTTTAATTTGAAATTTTAATTGTTTATCGATGTTTCCAACGTTCCATGATGGCATGACGACAATATTAAGCATTTAGTACTGTAACTAATGACCTACTATCTGAAAGTTAATTAAAATCCAACACTGAAAGTAATAACTTATAAGTATTTATACCAGGTCTATAAATCTATGATTCAATATTAATACTTCCGCTTTCTTTCTTCCAATGAGAATGTAATAGATAATAAATAATTATAATAATATATAATTATGATTCCCTTGTTTAGAGGGGCCCAGGTACCACCTCAGAATATTATTGTATGCATCTCATTTCATTGGCGCAGAGTCCGCAGACCCTTTGGGACTCCGAACTGGATCCGGTGATCTGTTGACTACACCGTACTAAGTATTGTATATATTACTACTACCTTCTTCCCCCGAATACAACGTACCATCATTATTATCGCTGTATCTGTGCTATCTTTCAGCTATTATACGTTGTATTCGGGGGACGAAGGTAGTCATCCACACAATGTCAATGTCATGGGCTGGTTGTATGCATATTATTATAATCAATTTGCATACCATTCCAATTATTTCATTCCAGTTAGAAAGCAGCAAGATTTGTTTTTGTGTTTTTTTTTACATGAAATTATGAAATTCTGATTCCGTTTCCATTTTTCAATGGCAGGCACGGAGACTCCGTTCACAAGCCGGACCCAACTTGGACCGCTCTGGAACTGTCCGGCGAGCCCGACTACCCCGGTGGTACCGTTTGCCAGGTTCAGTCTGGAGTTTATGCATTGCAGAGTTACTTGAAGACGAACAGGGCATCCTTCATTATCTCTAACCATGAGAACGTGACTCGTACGTATTCTACAATGGATAAATATGTCGATGATATCATCCAATACAGGTAATATGGAATCTAAAAGGAATTATAGTATTCCTTCGAGGCCGGTTTAACTCCTCCTGTTCCCTGACACTGTGTTCTTTCTTCTTTTCGACCCATTTATTTCATAAATATGTTTCAGTTGAACAGCAGTAATATGTGCAGAGTCTGCAGACATGTGCGCTTTTTTTTTTTTTTTTGTATTCCAATTCTTTCCAGGAGGAAGAGGAGGAGGAGGAGGAGGTTCGATTACACCCTGGAACAATTATCATGCAGTGTCACTCTCCAGTAACAGTTTTCAAAATTGACTGCACTTCGCTCACGATTTGAATTGAATTGAATTGAATTGAATTGAAGAAGAAGAAGAAGAAAAAGAGCTTCAGAAGAAGATGGAGAAGAAGAAGAAGAAGAGGAAGGAGGAGGAGGAGGAGGAGAAGAGCCTGGAGAAGGAGGAGGAGGAGGAGGAGGAGGAGGAGGAGAAGGACGAGAAGAAGAAGAAGAGGGAGGGGGACGGGGAGGAGGAGGAGGAGGAGGAGGAGGAGGAGGAGGAGGAGGAGAAGAGGGAGGGGGAGGGGAAGCGGGAAGGGAAAGGGAAAGGGAAGCGAGAATGGAAGGGGTGGGAGCCATTACACAGGGGTGGAGCCCTTATTACGATAAGTTGGTAACCCTTCACTTCCAGAAGACCTCACCTCAGACAGTTCTCGCCGAACTTCTCGCCGCTCTCGGGGGCTGTGAAATTATAGCCCTTAGCACCTAATGTTTTCTTTAAGCCAACTGACAGACTGAAATTATTGCCCTTACACCGCCGTGTTTTTTTTTTTTGTTTTTGTTTTTTTTTTGTTTTTTTTTTAAGGCAAGTGGTCAACCGGATACTAGTGTACTAGTGTGGCAGAAGGTAAGTCAACCGGCGTGTTTTTTTGTTTTTTTTCTTGCTCTTTTTTTTTTCTTCTGTTTTTAAATAAGGAAAGATCAATCGTTTATTAACATGCAAGCCGGGAAACGAGCCGGGCGTCCCTTACAAAAAAACAAAAAGTCGCCGCAGCCCTGAGCTGAGCGAGGCTCTCCGGGCAGGCAAAGCTCATGCCACGACTGTGTCAAGGGCGAAAATTGCTTCTTCTCTTGATCTCTTCTACCAATTATACAGATTATTCTAACTTCGCCAGCAGCATTCTACATACCCTATCCTATCCGAGTATTGAGGAATTAAGAACCGTTCTAGCCTGAACTATCCTGCTAACAGAAGCCATGAACAGTCCTACAAATCTGCCACCCGCTATGTTTTTTTTTGTTTTTGTTTTTTTTTAAGTCTGGGCACAAAACGAAAATGTTTCTGAAACTGAAAGTTAGGTTCAAGTTCCGCTGTCCGGGTGCTCTGAAGAAGACATCAGCGGAACTTGCGCATTCCACTTCCTCATGTGTTCCGCTGATGTCTTCTTCAGAGCGCCTGTAGCACTATAATGACCGTAAGTTAAGACTCCAAAAGACATATTAAAGATGAAGATTTTCAAGTGGCCAATGGCCTCCTGTGGTTATGTTAGTTTGATTTTCGCTGAACATCCTTATTGATGTATTTTGCCTTGGGCACTGCGCCCACTGAAACAAACAAACTGATTCAAAAAAAGAAAAAAGAAAAACAGTTATAATAATTGCAGATGTGTTGCCATTGGTGCCTCTCTGCGACAATCCAGTCTGACTCAGCTCAGCTGTTCCGATATCCAAGATATATGCCACGATTTCAGGGAACGTACGGGCTACTACAGGAGCGGCCAAATTCATTCGACTAGAAACGTTTCTACTCTTTTTTTTTTCCGCGGCGGATAGATGGGCAAAGTACTGGTGGTTAAATGAAGGGAGTCAGCCCTATGAGCAAGGAGATTGAGTCAGCGGAGGTACATGGGCTGCCTCGTCTGCCTTGCGGCTCCAGCGGCCAAAAGGACCTTTACCTAGCAGGCTAGCAGCCCCCTACCCCTATTTTTTTGGCCTTTTGAAGAGTTCTAAACCTGCAACCCCTAGAGAGGGGCCGCTTAGGATTCCCTCTCCCCCAAGATGAGAGCTTTGGCCGCTGTTCACCTCTTCAGTCGGCCCCCAGGGCGCTGCCACATAGCCTAGTGTCCAAGCCGACTCAGGAGCCCTTCTCCTGATGGGGAGGGGGTCCTGCCTTCCTGAGGACCTGAGGGGCACCAGGAAAGGAGGAGCCCTTCTCCTGATGGGGAGGGGGTCCTGCCTTCCTGAGGACCTGAGGGGCACCAGGAAAGGACAGGTTGCAGTCCGAAGGAGCGGGCGGGAGGGAACACTGCCAGGCAAAAGGAAGAAAAGAAGAGAAGCTGAAAAAAATTGATTGGGGGGGGTTATAACTGTAGCTCTGCCAGGGCTAGGGGGCGAGGAGGCAAGGGGTCTGGAAAATTCCTTTCCAGCCTTCCAGGCGGTAGAGGGAAGGAGGGCCCAATATTCGTCCTGTCGTGGAACAACCACCTATAGTCTCTAATCTCTAGATCCTCTACCACCTCCTGTTGGACTATATCTGTAATCCAATTACTAGGGTACAGGATCTGGGAGGGAATACAGTATGGGAGGCTGTTAGGTTCTCATCTGACGCCCTGCCTGACAAAGGGTGAAGAGGTAGGGAATACAGTAGAAGCTTATCGGTCTGTTCCTTGTTTGCAACAGTTACTCTGCTTCTATTATTATGTACCCAGCTCAGTATCAATCTTGCTGTATTCAAGGGATGCTGGCTGGACCTTTTTTCCAGCAGGTGACGCTCCCCACCAATAGATGGAGGGGCGGCTGGTTACAGGACTACTTGCAATGGGGGGATGCCTCCTAACCCCCCTCCTACGTAGTTTTTTGTCTAGCCTTAACACACACACACACACACTTACACACACACACACACACACCTACATCAACGTAATCACTTTGCAACTCCGCCTGTACATTCCGTCCCCTCTCTTGAACACAAAGGTGATCACACCTATGATCAATGCTCGGGACGTGCATGTGACTCTGTGAGGCTAGCAGCATCTCATCATCATCATCATCATCATCATCATCATCATCATCATCATCATCATCATAGAATAAAGATTCATTAAAGATTCATTTGGCAATGTGCTGATGGCTTGAGTGTCTATTGCCTTTATATTAAATGGAATTTCCTGTTACTGAACATATTCAGGCTATTGAGAAGTTAAGAACCAATGAGCACTTATTTGTTTTTTCTTCCCTGCAACTTCTTTTTTTCTTTCCTTTCCTTTCTTTTCCTGGTGTGTGCAGGAAAGCCATGGATTTCTCGTTCAGCTTGGAAGACGCGAAGACTTTGTGTAGCACGGTAAGTTCTGCACCCTCAATTTTTTTTTGTTTAGAAAAGTTTAACTCTCTGTCACGGTAAATATGAAAAGTTGAAAACTCCTCAGTGACAGTGACTATGTTGCCGAGTCAATATTTTTTTTGGTTCTCAACTTCTCAAAATGTGCACACAACCACCGGTCTTCGGCTCTTCGGATGAACAGTGCGATGGGACCAGAATGGGTGGAGGCACCACCGAAAAATATAGAAAACGCACCCATGGCACGTTTCGTATTCGTTGTTGAGGCACGCAGGGAAAATGTGTGTGGGCAAAAATAGCCTCAGACTGTCAGAGGTTCGTTGAAATGAGAGCACACGCGTGCTGCTCCCCATGAATAGACTGAAGCATTCGTCCTACCAAAAAAAGCAAAAAAAAAAAAAAAAAAGGAAGAAGAAGAGAGTGCACGACAGCAGTGCCCCGTGCAATCGTGCACGCAAACGGCGAGGAAGACACAGCAGAGAGGTTCGCAACAAGCGCGCCTGAATAGCGAAGGGAGAGCGAGCCCCTCTGAGGGAAGGGAAACACAAGGAGGGGAAACACATCGCGCTGGACATGGAAGTGGAAGAAGGGGATAACGAAAAAAAAGGAAGATCCTCGGACATGCAAGAGGAATGAAAGAAGATTCAACTTATTCAAGGGCATATACACGTTGATTTATTAATAAACATTTTATCAATTTTTCTTATATCAGATTCTTTCTTTGTTTATGTATCCCCTTACTTTCTGCAATGCCCCTGCAGCGGTGACTCCGGTGAGGCGCCACAAATTCACATTTCCATCGGGCCCTGTGCAGAAAGGGACTCTCTCTCTCTCTCTCTCTCTCTCTCTCTCTCTCTCTCTCTCTCTCTCTCTCTCTCTCTCTCTCTCTCTCTCTTCTCTTTTTCTCCCTCTCCTTTCCTCTCTCTCCCCCTGTTTTTTTTTTTTTTTTTTTTTTTTTTTTTTTTTTTTTTTTTTGGGTCGGAGAGGACAAGGCATTGAAGGTAGAAGGGGAATGCTGAGGTTTTCCGGCTCCATCTGCTATAGCGCATTCTGCCATCCGCCGGATTGTGTCCTCGGCAAGAGTAATTAGATTCTGAAGCCTTGCATGGTTGCACCGGATGGTGGTTTGAGCTTAAATTTCAATTAGACCAGAAGATTTTTCTGTTACCATTTTGTGAAATCTGTTTTGCTCTTTTTTCTGATTTTGCATTTTTTTTGTTTTGCCAGCTCAAGGTGCAGAGCCAGGGGTCCCATCTTACCTCGGCGAGGCAGGTGCCGGAGATCGGTGGTTCCTACTGGCCATGGAGATTTTGCCACCAACAGTGTCACTCTATGATACCGCATTTATACTGGCCTCACTGGCTACGGCACTGCATGATGGCTTCATAGCCGCAATGTATGGCAAATACAGTTTCCTGTTTTGGAAAGCCCAAACAGCGATAAGGTGAGTCGTCACCATCTATTCTACTGTCATCTACCACCTCAACTTGTTCGGAAAATTTCAGATACTCCCCAGTGTCCACACTGCAACCAAAGCCAGAGGAGTTTTAACTTAAAGAACGCAGGACCCTCAGGAGCAGCAAATTTGGACGAGTTTTCGGCCAAGAAACTCAGTGCAATTTTGTTCAAAAAAATAAAAAATGTCCGTTTTGACGAAATGGCAGTTTGTATGGTGTACTGGTGCTTTAAGCCTTTAAGGCTCTCTTGCCTTCAATGGGTCCTCTATTGCATAATACCTGGCTTTCTGAAAACAAGGTCTTAATTTGTTGTTCTGCAAAATAAGGGTGCTCATCTCAGAGTCATCTGCAAATCAAATTTATCACATCGCGTTTTTCATTGCTTAAGCAATTTTTAGAAGATATTGGAAATTTCTATTATAATATTTTACCTCATCNTCTCTCTCTCTCTCTCTCTCTCTCTCTCTCTCTCTCTCTCTCTCTCTCTCTCTCTCTCTCTCTCTCTCTCTCTCTCTCTCTCTCTTGCTCGCTCGTTGTCTGTTTATCAAGTTCCGAAACGTACGGTCATGATGGCCGCGTCTACGATGACAGTCGTTATAGTTGCATTTTGGGCAACTGTCATTGTACACACGGCCATTATGACCGTACGTTTTGGAACTTCAATAAACCAACTGCAAGCAAGAGAGAGAGAGAGAGAGAGAGAGAGAGAGAGAGAGAGAGAGAGAGAGAGAGAGAGAGAGAGCTGGAACGTTGTACAGTCCACCAACCAGCCATAGGCTCGCAGCGCCATCACAACACCCCTCTCCTCCTTCATCATCTTTTTCCATCTATCTTAACCTTCGGATGAGACGAGATACGGACCCGCAAGAGCTAACACCCGCCCGCTGATTTTCGTCCCAGAATTCTTCTTTCCCGCCTTTGCATTCATTGAGGTGGCCGTTGCCCCCGTCTTTGACTCAGACTGTCCACCACTAACATCCTTTCGTTTGTCAGAAGAGGGAGCCACCCCTGCATCTGGGAAAGCAGTAGAAGACGTGGCAGTTGTGGACCACTTGGCAGCAGACGCCCTCTTGGCAGCAGATGCCGTGACAGCAGCTGATGAGGCAGCAGATGATGACGTAGCAGCAAATGGCTTGGCAGCGAATCGCTCGGTAGCAAATGGATTGGCAGCAGATGACGTAGCAGCAAATGAGGTAGTAGGAAATGGCTTCAAGTTGGTAGCAAATGGACTGGCAGCAGATGACGTGGCAGCAGATGACGTAGCAGAAGATGATGTGACGTAGCAGCAAATGGCTTGGGAGCAAATGGTACCCGTAGGGGCATCTCAAAAATTTTCCCGCTGGCTTTTAACGGCCATCCGGTAGGGGCATCCCGCAAATTAGAAACCGGTACCAGTAGGGGCATAACGAAAAGATTTGAGGCCCAAACGACACCGGGGTCTTATGGAAAATTTGAACCCTGCTCAGAGGGGCGCGACCTGGTAAATCGGCCGTCGGAGGGGAGCGACGCAAGATAAGGCAAATTACAGGGGCGGCAGACAAATTTTCCCAAAAAAAAAAGGAGACGCCAGCAAAATACGCGTTCCTTGGGGTTTTGTGCGGTCGATAGGGGAGGGAGGCTACCTTCTTCCCCCGAGTACAATGCACTGTCATTATAGCTGTATCTAGACTGAATATGCCTCAAATACAGGTATAATGACCGTGCGTTGTATTCGGGGGAAGAAGGTAGGAGTTGTTCAGTGGTTCGTGGGGCAGCCGCCAGGTTTTGCTGATGTTACAGTAGTAATTAAAAAAATATTAAAAATAAAAAATAAAAAAAATAAATCCACAGTTTCTCATAGTTGGACATCATCATCATTCATCCTCATTTGTTTACCCATCAGTATTAACTTATCAGTATCTTCACTATCACGATCATGGTTTTGCAGCATCAGAGGCATTTATCTAAGTTACAGTTCCATGAGGGCCGCTGGGCCCGGTTCCCAGCATGTGCTCAATTACCAACTTATTTGTATCTCAGATTCTCAGGGGACCGTGGACTCGCTTTCCAGCAGGTGTAGCTCCCCACCCACCCACCCACCAATAGACTGGAGCCCTCTGCAAGACAAGAAGGAGTGCATGCACTCTGTTGACGTGTGTGGAATTTTATTTTATTATTTTTTATTTTAAAAAAATAAAAAAGTTAAAGAATAAAAATAATAATAATAATAATAATAAAATCACATCGCTGTCTACCAACGAATGATTGGCTAGTGGATCATTCCACAGATTGGAACAATGAGGACAGGCTCAGAGTCTTCCTTGGTGCCAGCACTCCCAGGCCTGTCATTCTCCTTTGCCTAGTGGAGTCGTTGACGGTTCCGATAAACAATTATTGAGCATATGTTTGTACGATGTCCAAGTTCAAAGCTTGTACTAGGGGAAAAAAAAAAAAAAAAAAAAGCTTGTACTAGGGAGAAGATGGGACTGTGTTTGGAGGAGAAGGACAGAATTGGATTCAATTTGGCCATGGGATTGGGAGGGGGGCCATTCTCTTGGGAGACTGAGGTCCCATTTTACTGGATCCCTGTCAGACTTTCAATGTTTTTTTTTTTCTTTTTTAACTTAGGAAGAAATTTGAAGCGGTGTTATGGACGCTTTGGTATATTAAAAGGTGTTTTATTTGCAAGAGAATCAGTTTGGATTAGAAGGCCACAAACTTTCCGAACTGATTAATAAACAGTAGTATGGATTCCGTACGTCTGGGCCTAGTAAGTCCTTCCTCCGTGCAAGCACAGAATCTGATTCGAACCAGTGACTTCGGCCTCAAGAGCCAAGTCTCTTAACCACTACAGCCAGGACACGGTGTTCAAAAGTGGAATCATACCGGTCGTGATATCCACCCCACCCCTGCAAGGCTGTAGTGTCCAACTCAACACACACCACATACAACACCCATGGACATGGCAATTCTCGTACACTTCGCTCTGTAGTCAGCACGTAACCCCCGCTGGTACTCTTACCCGCTCACACAGTTTAATCCAATTTGAAATGGAAATCCATTCCCAATGGGCGAAAAATTCAATATCATATCTAACTTACAGACCTTTCAACATAACCAAAATACATAAATAGTTAAATTTACCATGGCCTGGCTTGGCTTGGGAACCCATCAGGGGAAAGACTTGGGAACCTAGTGTGGCCAGCGCGGCCGGGTAGGGAACAGTTACTCACTCCAGATTGAATTTCATTCAAAAGACACTATCATCTCATCTTTCAAGACTGGTTTGACATTCCAGCAGGACCAACACTTTGACCTCCGGGGTCCTTTCCTGGTCCTTTCCTGGCCAGAGGAAAGGACCTGGAAAGGACCTGGAAAGGACCAGGAAAGGACCGGGAAAGGACCAGGAAACTGAGGAAAGGACCTGGAAAGGACC